AATAATAATAATAATAATAATAATAATAATAATAATAATAATAATAATAATAATAATAATAATAATAATAATAATTTATCATCACCGATATTGCAACAAGATTTAAAATTTTCATTAATGTCAGGACCTGATACAACGTTAGCAGATTTTTTAGCTGTAGATATGGTACAATTTTCCGAGTGGACAGATGGGTTTAATATGTTATTTGATAAAAATATTGGATGTAAAGATACAGCTGAATTTATACAAGTATTGACTGAAATAGGTGTTAAAGTGAAATTACTAGATTTAAGTGGTGAAAGGGTTGAAATACCTCAAAGCGTTGAAGTTCCTGACGAATTACCAATCATTGATAAAAATGGAAGTGGATTCTATTATGACGATCCATTTGCTTAATATTATTTATTTGGAATGATAGATAACATCACTCACTATTTCTATTTAATTTTTAATATTTAGACAGATAATTTATTTAATTTATTAATAGATTTTATTTATTTATATATACACATATATAATAATAAATTAATATAATACACAATATACAATAAAAATTTCTACCGAGCAATATTGTTAAGAGAATAAAAAAAAAACCTGATAAAAACTTGATTTTGCTTAAAAATCTTAAAAACGCGTATAAAATAGTGATTTGTAAAATAGTATAAATAAATATATAAAACTTTTTTATGATAAATAATGATGAATTATTAGGACTTTTAAAAAAATCTTTTTCTTTCTTGAATTATTTCACAAAAAATAATGTTTTTTTATAATTTTAATTTTATTATATTATTATTATTATTTGTTAGTAAAAATGTAAAATGTGATAGTAATATAACAGATCTGTTAGCGAAACCAGTTAGATTTATAGGAGTAGTACTAACAATTGTGCTATCAGCTTTGACGTTATCTGGTGGATTAATTATTTTAATTAGAATAAGTAAAATAAAAGCCGGGAGCAAAGGAACCTCTTTGGGCTTTGGAATTAAATTACCTTTTTATTTTTCTTCAATCAGTTTGTATTGATCTCGTTCTTTTTATTATTATTATTATTATTAATAAATAAATTAAATAAATATTTTTTAAAACATTTTTGTTTCCTCCCACCAAAAACAATTTACACTTACTTCTTTCTGGTAAATCTTCTATACCTTCTCTAATGTAAGATTTTTCAGTAAAATCGCAGTAATGTAAAAATTTAGCGTTTGGACTAAGTCTATAGAATCTCCATTTTTTACTAGACAAAGACCTACGATTACCGCTATTATTTTGTGTTTGATTTGAGGAGGAGGATGATGAGGGTTGATTTGACGATGATGATGATGTAATAACTGGAAACCAATCTCCGCGTAATAAACATTTAATTCTTTGTTGTTTAACAAATTCATATGATTCTGTATACAATTTACTACGAAGATTTCTAAACAATAATAACAGTGATTATTTTATAATACATAACAAATTTTTTTAATATTAATAAATATTGTCAATATTTATGATATATATCTATAATTAAATTAATCAAGTACCTGACAGGAGTTTTACTTAATAAGTCATCACCAAGTTCCAATTCTTTTAATTGTCTATCTCTGATAACTTTATATTCAACTTCTAACATATCCTTTTCAAATTCATAAAGTTGTTTGGTAACTTCATCCTTAAGAGCAAATTTAAGTTGACTACGAACAAGAGCTGATACTTTAGGGAAATCATCGGATGTCGCCTCCATTTCATTCCATAATCTAAAAAATGCTTTAATAGTAATATAATGAATTTTGCCAAATGATAATAACAAGGGTTGAAATGATGTTGAAGTCGTATCTAATTATTATTATTTATATATTATTATAATTAATAATTAATCAATATTATTGGATGAGAATTATAAAGAAACTGGTTATAATAATAATAATAATAATAATAATAATAATAATATATTTCTTACATCCGGTGCTAATATCCCAATAATCACACAACAATTCTGTTGCTTCAATCGAAGTTTTAGCAAATGGGCAACGACGTTCTGCTGGTCTATTGATTTGTTCTAATATTATCTATTTATATATATGTATTTTAATTGAAAAATAAAATAATTAGTGATCATGTTGATATTACGTTATATATATATATATATATATATATTAACCTTTTGATAATATTCTTTATCTTTTTTAACAAAACCATGCATATTTTCAAGACCTAAATATCCAACACGTTGTATCTCCCATTTTGGTGCTTCAGTCTATTAAACAATTTACAATTAATTCATGATCATTTAATATCACAACGGTATTATTTGTATTGCAATAATAATAATAATAATGGATAAAGATAGTCTACTAACAGCAAATCCAATTTTCCTCCATTTGCCACCTTCTTCCGATAAATTTGCAGATGACCATATTTCTTCTAACATTGATTTATGAGAAGCAATATGTAAAGACATTTGTGTTCTCTTCCATCTATATGCTTGTCGTACAAATAATGATTGAAATTCTAGTAAATGTTTTGATAATTCCTCGCTAGGATGTCCAGTCATAAGTAACTAATAATGACAATGATAATGATAATGATAATAATAGTATTAAAATTTGATATTAATCTTAATATAAATTGTACACAAAATTCATTACTATTATGGTTTTTTTTCAAAAAAAAAAAACATATATATATATATATATTTGCTTACAGCAACAGCTTTTCTAACATTTAATTTATCCAACATATTCATAAAAGATTCCCAATATTGATCTGTAGCATGCCTCATTAAAGCATTGATCAAACATAAACTATTTATACATAAAACATAATCAGCGGATGCAAAACGCTGTACTAATGTTGGCAGGAAGTTTGGTTGATGGATCATAGCATCATATAAAACATCAAATCCGTATGATTTAATTGATGTTATCGAATTTTTATCTGCTGTTACTAATTTAATAATAATAGCTGTTGCAGGTCTACAAATATTAACAAGTGTTTGTTTTACCAATATTTTAATAATCTATTGTTATTATATAAGAGAAAAAATTTTAATTCAAAAAAGAAAGAAATAATTAATATTATTATTAATATTTTGCACACGTACACACACATATAATTAGATTATTACAAACCCTATTTATAAAATCAGAATCTAAATTATCCCAACCATGATCATGTTCCATAAGATTTTGCATTGATGTTAATGCATATGCTAATGTATTCCCACTAGATGTATTTATTGTTTCTATCAATAACTTTAATCCACCACGTTTTAAGAATTCGTCAGCAAATTCCATTTCCTATTATTATTGTTATTGTTAATTAATTATTATTATTATTATTATTTATGATGTATTTATATAAACACTTTTTTAAATATATTATTACCTTTACATATTTTTGGAGAGAAAATGTAGCGAGTTTTAACCCTTTTTCATCGTTACTACTCATTTTCTCGTATATTTCAACTGCTTCAATTAAGGGTGATGAAACCAATTTTAATCGCTCATTTTCCTTTATCTTTCTTCTAAGATTCTAATATATATCAATCAATCAATTTTTCGGTTAATAGAATTGATCTGATATATATCCATCATATATATATTTTAAACATCACTAACTTCTTCAGTAATTAATTCTTCAGTATCTAATAATCTTAAAGCAAATAAAGCGGCTGGCTCTTGAATATTAAATTGTTCCAAGCATAATGTTTTTATGATTGTTTGTAAAGGTTGAGATACATCAACTGAACAAGTAACTTGATTTTTATCATATAATAATATAACTTGAGTAGTCATTATTATTTAAATAAATTTTTCCCTCTCCTTTATATTAAAAAAAAATAAACTTATAATGGCAGTTATTATTAATATTATTACTATTTATTATATGATCAAATAATATACTATAATACATTTGATTGTTGAAAAAGATATATTTTTTATAAAAAAAAACATTTCATAAAATTAAATTACACGAGCTGAAGTATGACATAAAAAACGTTTTTTCAAACTTTGTTCCACTACATAAATTGAAAAAGTTCAATATTTATTATAATTAATTAACAAAAGAAAATATTTTTTTAGGACATAATAGATAAATAGATTTATTTTAGATTTGTAATTTCATCTCACGTAATTGACCAAAAATCCTTTATCTTCAATTGGAAAACGTTCGCGATTAAACATTCAATCGAAAATCAATTTGCTCTTAATCACATTGTAATTATTCATCTTTCTGCGGAATTTTAGATCAATTTAGCGAGAATTTATCTTGCCATCAAAAGATATTCATGTATAAAGTGAAAAAAATTGCTGATACTGCATATATCATGATGCATTGAGTTTCACATATAGGTCATATAAGCGCAATATTCAAGATCATTCAGTAAGATTGTATTGATTCCCTATACGAATGCCATGCTAATATAGTGGGTTGGACGTTGTGCAACACAATGGCTACTTTTCAGGAATTGTTGTTAAAACACATTCAAAATGTGAAAAGCAGGAAATCAAGTTTTGGTAACAGTTTAGAATCCAATTTCCGCTCAATGTAAAAGTTCATTTAATATCTAATGATTATGATATGAATTTTGAAGAAGCTGTTGGTCTATTTGTTTTATCCTAGTTTAGTTATTAGAGGAATTAAAAAAAATAAACAAAACTTTGGAGGAAATGAATTTATGAATTTAATTGATTAATAATAGATGAATGGTATCTAATTAATGCAGCAGCTGGAGGCGTTGATATAGTTTCTGTATAAATAGAAAAGGCGAAGAAGAAGAAGAATAATGATAATAAATAATAATAATAATAATAATAATAATAACAACAACAATAATAATAATAATTAATATATTAGGTATTAGGAGCAAAAGTAATTGCTTGTTGTGGGTCAGGAGAGCAATTAGAGATAGCAAGGAAATATGGAGCAGAATAAATTACAAATGCTCATGGTATAGATGTTGGTTGTTTATGATCATGTTGGAATGATTCAATCTTCCATAAAATGTATTGGTAAGTAGTATCCTAAATATACTATTAGCATGGAACGGACGATTGTTGACGATTGGGTGATATTGAAGAGATCCCAATGGATTTGGTTTTACTGAAAAATATTTTGTTATTTGGGTTACATTGGATGAAACATGACTGGCAAGAAACAATTCAAAAAGTTTGAACTTTTAATTTGTTTAAATGGAAAAAGTCAAAATCTTAATTTATATTAAATATTAAAATGTTTGGACGATATTTCAACTACGGTTGCTTTTGGCAAGGTAATCGTCAACGATCACAACGAACAAAAGGTAAACTTCAGATAATTATTCATCTTCATATGTATTTTTTAATATTCAAAAAAGATTATTTAGTTGTTTGCTATAATAAACTTATGCTGTAACAAACCTATCTATGCTGTAATAAATTTTTGCTATAATAAACTTATGCTACGTACAATAAGTTTATGCTGTAATAAACGTGTGTCAATCCACTTTATCCAGTTTTGTAAATCTTCTATAAAGGTTTTTTTGTAAGCTTATGTTCTCTCTATTTCTAATAAGACTTTTTTCAAATGATAAGAAAAATTATCATTTTCATTCAAGCAAGAATCGAATAAAATAATTACAATAGATAAAACTACTAATTAATTATTTTCTTTTAAAAGATTTCAATAAAATATCATTAATCTATCTATCTCTCTCTATAAAGGAACAAAAATCACGAGAATAAAAAAAATCGACCTGGCCACCCCGGCGTTAGTAGTGTAGTCACCGAAGCGTATGATAGTGCCGGGTTCGTCAAACCACCATCCGCTTTACAATCTTCTCGTTTTTTCATTTTGGTTTTTTCGTTTGAATCTTCGCTTTTATCTTGTTGTTGTTATTAAGAGAAATATCCCATCTCTCTCTCCTACTACTAAAGAAAATACTTGTGTCAATCTATATATTTATTTATGTATTAACATGTTTTAAACATATAAATATTATATAAAATGCTAACCATATCATAACCATATAATATAGCATGACAATTATTATTATTATTCCTCTTATGACTACTGTCACCACCATTAATATTGCTATTATGGTAAATTTTATGATAAAAACATAATTTATAAAAAGAATCCACCAAAAAAACAATGACAGTTTACTTACCAACATTTATTCAAAGTTATTATTAGTTAGCGAAAGAATTGCTTAAAATAAGTGAAGGAGAGGAGAGCCACCATCATCATTCAAAATTCATTAGCAAATCACTTTTATTTGCTGTGTGATGATGATAAATTTGACATGGAGTGATGATTGAAAAAAAAAAAATTTCGTCAATTTATAAAATTTGAATTGATCAACCTGACCCAAATCAAGAAAAATCAAAGAAATGGCTTAATCTTCAACAACAAAGAAAATTTCAATTTTTTTTTTCAAATAATTGAAATTTTACTACACGTAAAATTACGTAAGCGTCAAAGGAAGTGTCATGCAGATCAAGGGGCAAATAAATTTAAAGCAAGCAAGCCTCACCTAAACGACAAAAGTTATCAATCGCCGACAGGATGATTTTTTGCGGCGAAATAATCAAAAATCTGCTGACGGTTATAGTATACTTCCGCTACACTTCAAAAGTATTATTTCTGATTATATATATATATATATATTATAAAATCAAATCATATTATTTATCGAAATTTAAGAACTTCTTTTTATCTATTAATTAATGAATTAGAATTATAATACATCATGTTAAAAGCCATCTTTAATAATTCAAAATCACAAATCAAAGCTATTCACTGGCATAATTCACTATTTCTATAAATTGTTTTAATTATATTACGCATTGATTAATAAAGACTATATAATTTTTTAAAAAAAAAAAATTCAAAGAGAAAATAATAGTAATTATGTGATCTGCAAAAACGAACGTTACACGTAAAAATACAAATTTTCTATATAAAAATTTCCAACAATCCACGAGTGCTAAAGAGTAAACTTTTTTCTTTACTTAAGTAAAGGTAAAATAAAATATATTAATATGTTTTCTGAGTTATGTTTCATGCAAAGGTACTCAATTGGTCATTTTTGTGTCAATTTTCCTCCGATTTATTCGCGGATCGTCAATTAAATTATTTTTTACAATTTGTAAAATATCTATAATATGATTATTAATTAATAACCAATACGATATTACAAATAACTATAAGAATGGGAGTAGCATATGTGATCGCTGGTCGTAAAATTGCATCTCAATATGTAAGTGGAAATTTTTATAATGTTTTTTGTTTCATTATTTATTTTATTAGGTAGTTGTATTGGTTGCTTTTCTAACAATCAGAAGATCTAAGGCAAAAAGACCTGATCTGTTTACTTCCAGTCCACCAATCAATGTGTCTTCAGTTGAAGAGGAATTGTTCATTAAAGAATTTATGAAAAGTGAAGAAGCCGAAGAAAATAAAAAGGCTCATAATAAACGTGTTTTTCCTTAATGCTCAGTTTATTAAATTTTTAATTAAAAAAAAAAATTAAATATTAATATTAATATTAATATAAATAATTAAATAAAATATCTTTAGGGTAGATTTAACTAAATAAATGGAAATTATAAGTAAACAGAGGTTAAATAATGCAAATGATTTCATTTTTATTATGATTGATTCTCATCCTTTTGAGGCTCTTGACCATAAGATTTATTTGCATGTTCTTGAAGTTCTTGACCAATTTTATAATTTAAAATCTATATATAAAAAAAAAGAAGGTATTTTACTAAGTAAATAAATATTTATTTTTCCATTTTAAAGTAAATAAAATATTGAATACCTTATCCCAGTCAAGCTTATGACGAGTCAAAGGTAATGCACGTCTCAATCCTTTGAATGTATTTTCTGACAACTCAACATAAGATTCATTTAAGGATGTCTGATATTCATTCTCAGCTTTACAAATCAACTTAATATACGCTTCAGCCTTTGCATTTAAATCCTAAAAGAATATATATACATGCATATGAAATAAATATAAAATATAATATGACATACAAACTAAAGCATCAAATTATTACAATATGCGCACAATCTATTTATATATACAAAATATATATATACGTACATCTGAATTTGTTGAAGTAGACAATTCAAAATCTTTTGTGGCATTTAATTGAACATTACCATCTTCATAGTAATGAACATTAACTTTGACAGTGCCCTTTAATTCATTAGATTCAGGTGAAATAATCCATGTAGATTGCCATCTTCCATTCCTATGTTTAAGAAAAAAATATATAAGTAACATATATATCTATTTATGTTTTAAAATTTAAATAATAATAATAATTACCAATAATTTGCAGAATTGTATTTATTATCAACCAATGTAATTACTACTGTATTATCTTTAGAATAAACAGTTAATACGCCATTAGGATAATGATCCTTCACGTAGTTAGTAGCAGCAGTTTCTATCTCCAACCTAATTCAATAATTCGATTGCTGATAATTCCATTTATAATTTCAATTTTAGCAAATTGATTTTATTTATTGAATATTAAGATACCTTAATGGCTCAGCGGCTTCATCAAATTCATGAGATTCAACCTCGGTTACTGTCTAATAATTATAATGAAATAAAAATATATTAATAACCAATAAATATTATTCTATCCTTTACATATATAATATATATTTAATCTTACTTGATTTAAATGATCCAATTTAAAAATCTTCTTTGATTTTGGATCAAAAAATTTATCATTCTCAATTTGTCCATATTTTGATACAATAACCTGTAAATATTAATATAAACAAAATTTATTAATCTTAAAATAATGCATTAATTATTTTTTGAGCGGAAAACTGTTTAGAAAATGAGATGAAAAATTAGTATTGACAAAATACCGGCATTTCTTGATCTGGAAGAGTAACTGTGATATACTGTTCTGTATTATATTGTTCTAATGCATTCATAATTCCTTTTGTAAAATTTTCATCATCTGCCATTAAAACTCTAATATCTATCAAAAGCCAAATTATAGTGAGTAATAATAATTCAATTCATCAATTAAAATTTTCCAAATATTAAAAGTATATTAATCTCTACCATCGTATACAAAGCTAACCTCCCCAGGAGGGCTGTCAAGTAAGAAATTGGTTGAAATTTTAAGTTTTTCTTCAATAGGTAACTCATCTTTTTGCATATTCATTATCAAAAATTTTTTTTTTTGCAAATTAAAATAAAAAAATTTATTACGTATTATCTGCCATTCAAACTAGTGATTGACAAATTGATTTCCATATTAATCGACATAAAAAATTTTTTTTTACATGCCTATTTTTTTTTTTAACATTTCATAATGTCACAAGCAAGTTATTCGTTAGCTCATAGGCGTTATGTTACTTCTTTATACAAACGCTCTCTAAAACTTGCTTTAGATTGGTATGTTGAACGTAGGTTATGGAGACCAGTAGCATTGGAAATTCGTGCAAAATTTGAAGCAAATAGAAATGTTTCTAGTACAAAACAATTAAAAGAAATTTTTTTGGCAACTGAAGCTGAACTTCAAAAATACTCTCATCCTGATCCTTACAAAGGTATAAAATGCCCTTTATTGCTTTTATCAAAGTTTGGATGATTCAAATCAATATTTATTTTCAATGTTTATATATTAGCTCCAACATCACCTGATGGCAGTAAATGGGAAAGAAACATACCACCACCAGTTTGGAATGATGAAAAAATAGTATGTCATATTATTATATTTTTATATTGTGCATATACATAGTAATATATTTTTCAATTCAACTAATTAATTATTTTATAATCTCAAAACTAAAATAAAAAAATTGATTAATTGTATATAAGGAAGGAGAGCAACACCATTAAATAATTAATCATTGTGCAAATGAATAAATTTAAAAGTATTTGTTATATATATATATATATAATTTAAAGTTATTTCTTGTCTGTAATATTGAATTTAAGATATCATAAAATGACAGTGACAAATTGTTGAAATTGCAACACTATATTAATATCATTCTTGCAAAAAGAAAATTTAATATTAATAGTCAAATCTCCCCCATAAATCACCATGAACAGTATCTATTTTTACAAACCATGTATGTGCTTTGTCAATTTTACACTCTAATCAAAATAATCAAGCCAAGCATGTGGTAACAACTATTGAATCATTCATCATTTTTTGATGAATTATCAGTTTAATATTAATTATCCCTTGAATGGTATAAAATTTAATATCAATTTTAGTAATTACCTTCGGGATACTTGCATTCCTATTGGTCAATTTAACGATCGACAACATGAAAACCAAGATTTTACAAAAACCATATAGACAGACAATAACCAGATTTTTATTTATAGATCTCCAAACAAGGATAAATTTGTAATTAATATATTATGTAAAGTAATAAAGTTTCAACAAATTTGGTTTACAATGTTCATGTCAATAATTGTACAGGAATCACAGCAGATTGTAGGTGGTAATATTGATGAACCTTAACCTTATCTCTGACAAGAACATTCAGATGCATTTCATGCACTCCAACAATACCAAAATGATTTTTGTCAACATTAACACTTTCATGTACCAAATACATCCCATTGTTAGTTTCTCATCATCCATTTGTTTTTTAGGTGCTAAGTGCTTGCACTTAAAGGATTTTTTAAAATATGGTAGTAAAAATTAGTCAGTTAGAGAACCAAAAACTTTCTCAACTTAAAGAATTGGATCTGCAGCAGTGTAGTTTTTGTGGTCAGATAACAATTCTCAACCTTGGTTGAGGGGGTTTTGAGAAACTTCATTGTCAAGCTTGTCAGGAAGTTCATGTGCTTTGTCCGGAGCTGTGCTTACCAGTTGAGAACTAAATAGAAATAAAATATTTGATCTAACAAATCCTAATTCTGGTAACCCATAGTATTTTTTCTTAATAATATTACATGCTAAGAATAACAAATATTGGATTACATACCTTTACACCAAACTTATTTGATCCATTCTCCTTACTAAACTACATACCATTCAATATTCATTCAATATAATTTATTATTTCATCTTGTATACTAATGGTTCCATATGTTTAATTATCTTGATTCCCTATAGAAAATAAACATATGGAATGTACACTACCTGGACAAAAGTTTGTGAACGATGTTTTTTGTTAATTACGCAAAATACTACATAATAACAATACATAAAATTTTAATATTATACGGCCTAGGTTCTTGTTCGTTTTTGTATAAAATTTGATGTTTTTGTATTTCTAGTACTTTATTAATTAAAAAAAACCGAAAGTTGATTAAATTTTAAAATGTTTACAGTATTTTCATGATTTTTCAAAAATTTTTATAATAAAAATATTTAAAATTATATCATATAAAATTTATGGTTTTGGAGAATGAACTGTATGATTTTAAATACTTTAACGCATCTAGATTTTATTTCTTTCGTTATTTTTTTTTCTAGATCTAAATCATGATCTGCAAAAAAATTTTATTAAAATCATAAAAATGCCAAAATATGCGGAACTGACTGTACTTGACCATGGAAAAGTTTTGGGTCTTCATCTATCTGGAATATGTTAAAAATTGGATGGTAAAGAAAAAAATAAATATTTTGGCTGATTGGCCCTCTCAATCACCAGATCTTAATCCGATTGAACATCTCTGGGGTGAACTTGAGAGGAGGCTAAAAAAACGTGCAGTGCATCCAAAAAATAAATTGAAATTGGAAGTTGCGGTGAAAGAAGAATGGTTAAAAATACCTTACGAAACTTTAGAAAAACTCATTGAAAGCATGCCAAGAAGAATTGACGCATGTATTTCTAATGATGGGTGGCCCACTAGATATTAGTCAATTTTTTTCAATTTTAACTTTTTGAAGATCTTTTCAAAAAAAAAGTATTTCGTTTTTTTTTTTATTAATAAAGTACTAGAAATACAAAAAACATCAAATTTTATACAAAAACGAACAAGAACCTAGGCCGTATAATATTAAAATTTTATGTGTTGTTATTATGTAGTATTTTGCGTAATTAACAAAAAACATCGTTCACAAACTTTTGTCCAGGTAGTGTATAAGAATTTCTTTATATTTGATATGGAATAAATTTTTAGATATGGAACAGATGTATTTAATCTAAGTTTTGAAATTTATCAATGTAATGCAATTTATGGATTATAGTGTTGTCATTAGCCTTAAGACCAAATGTTTTTGATTTGGATTTGAGGCATGCTGCAACAAAACCAGACAAAGTGAACATTTGTATTACTAAAGATTTCAAGGGTTCTAAATTTAGTCATCATCAATACAATGCAATTATTATTATGATTTAATGATTTTATAATGTCTGTTTGTTATCATTGTTTTTCATATATAAAAGTAATCAATATTGTAAGAAGAGGAATGTTCCTTTAGAATACTTTTTCTTTACATATTTAACAAATAAAGAGTGCTTACAATTTAGACAAGGCTGCTAACATTCTTGACTGAATGAGGGAAGCTGTCGATAACATGCTGGAACCTTCGGATGAGTTTAATAAAGGCTACCAAAAACCAAACAGCACTACTTGGAATAAAGTGCTAACCAATAGTGAAAGTGAAAAGTCTTTGGTCTTAATTATTGACCCAAGCTCTCTTCAACCAGATAAGTGACTTAAATGCTCTGTTTATAGTGTGGTTGATACTAGTGATATTTGTTTACAGTGATTAAGTGTTATAATAGTGAATTGTGATGAGAGGGAATTTTATGTGTGTAAGATATGTTTTTATTTGTTAGGTATTAGTATCATTACAAGATAATTATTATTATCAGATCAAAGCAAATTAGGATGAGATAATTAATATGTCAATAAATTCACATTCCATTAATATATCACAAAATAAATTATATAGATTGATTATCCAGAAGTAAGGTTGCTTGTCAAAACTCATCCAGAAATCAATCAGCAGGGTTTTGGCAGGTCACACATTAATTGTTTATTAGAGTTTCAGCAGAGTTTCGCATTTTGAGGTTTCGCCTTTCGGCATAGTTTCAACAGGATTTTTGATAGGATTTAATATAGTTTTGCCATGGTTTCAGCAATTACTAAGGAGGTTTCGCCCACAACCTTATCCAGAAGCAATCCACAGTGAAGAGGGCATTCCAAGTAAAGACTAGTGCCGTAAATTATGATGATGGTAGTAATTGTATTTACGGCATATAAAAAGTGGTTGCAATTACCTTTGCAACCACTTTTGCAACCATACTTTTTCCTTTTTTTGGATTACGGCACTAGTCTTTAATTCCAAGCAGATTAAATCATTGCCAGAAAAATTTATTTCTGAAGAAGGTGGTATTGGTGATTGTGGAGGAGATGACTGTGTTGATATTGGCTGTGGAACCTATATATTTTGAAATATTATATTTATGTATAAATAGTAAAGATCAAATTTCTGTGATACTCACCTTTTGATTTCTATGATGTCTTTTCACTAAGGACCCAATGTTATAATTTTTACAATTTTGTTGACAAAGATTAAAATCCCAGACAGATCTAATTCTTTTTCTACAGGGGAATCCTCAGCATTTATGTTTTGATTAGATGTTTGTTGACTAATTTGACCTGATGTTTGTTGACTGGTAATCATTCTATCATCCTCATCACCATTAGTCATCCCATTACCATTATAGTCATCATTACCATCATGATTGGTGAACTGCTACTATCTTTGTTGAAATCTTTACCAAAATTATTAAAATCACTACCAGAATTTTCTTCTGAGATCAGATCAAAAACAAACCTAAAAAATGAAATTATGTACCTTGAGATAGGAACAGTCCTTCACCTATCACTGCTTCAGAATTAATTGGTTTGATCTTTCAAAAGATAAAATATGAGTTGACAAAAAATAAATGGATTCATAACAATAAATTTGTTGGAAACTTACCATATTGTGATCAGATCTTAAATATTTATGAAAAATATTTATTAAATGATCTAAACTACTTTCTGCTAACCCAACAATTTCTTCCTCATTTTTTAACAGCTCTGCAACTGTTGTTGATGGTAAAGTTCGAAGCATAACAAGCTTTTCCTCGAAAAGCTGTTGAGTTAAAACAAAAAAAAAATTCAAATTCAGTAAAATGATGAGCTGCAATGATTGCAATAACCACCAGTCTTTGTTATATTCTTTTCTTCTTTTTATGGTTGTAGATTTCGACATCTTTATAAAAAAAAGAAGTTTGTGATTAGATCGATGCATACACATTAATTATTGTTTTTTTTTAGGTAGGACAGACGCGAATTGGTTTTTTTTTTTTTTGGAAAAACAATTTATTTTGACAGAGTCCAACATGAGTGTTGTTGTTTGATTTGTTTGGTTTGGTTTGGATCTCCTAAGGAATACGTGTTAATAACTAACCAGAGGTACTTTTTTTATTTGTATTGATATGTATGAGGTGTCTTTTATTTTAGTTTATAAATATTTTAATTGGAATCAAAACGTGGAGCAGATCTTGCTGGGTAATTACAAAATTTTCATTGATAATATTTTGCTTTGTGTAATCGTAATAATAATACTATTATTAATATATAATTACAAGATGTCAAGGCAGCACTGACTGTTGAAAAAGAAACAATTCGAAATGCAATGTTTGATTATCGGAAAATAGCAGGTGTTGAAGCACGCATGCTACCTTGAACACATTACAGTAATTCTCATCTTCTTTGTGTACATAAGGCTAATCTGACTTGCCTCCCCCGATGATACAATGTTGCAACTAAATTCCAGGGGGGGTCGCTCTGCTATGGAGTTTACCAAAACTGCATCAATTGTCAATGATGCTTTCACTAATTTTCCCTTACAGCACCAGACCAGAGAAGGCTGCTGGCACGTTAGCCGAAAAGTTACCTGCAATGATCCTACTCTAGGGTAAGGATGGCTCTGTGACCAAGTCGCAACTCTGCAGCATTTTGAAGAGTTGTGATATTAGGTGTGCATAAACATCTAGATCAATCAAAGCAATGAGAATCTGCGGCTTGTTTTAAGCAACAGGAGGTTACAATTCAGAGCAGGGTTGGTGGCTCTGAAATTGCATTTGTTAAGGGTAGGGGGAATCACGTGTCAATTTATATGTAGATCGGCGGCTCAAAAATTTGAATTATAGAAGTTGCATAATAAAAGTTATGCAAAACACGTCCAAATTGGTTCAAAATTTTTCCATATGTAGATTATAAACCCCTTTAATTTCTTGTAAAATTTCAAACAAAATAATTTAGTAAGAACTTTTAATTTCTTCAAAAAACCATACTAATCCCATAGTAACTGATACTAATCCCTTAGTAAAAGGTATTATTTCTTTCATATAAGCTATTCATTCCAAATTATTACTAGTCTAAAGTTACTTACTACTTAGTAATGTTTCATTTACTTAGTAAAAACTGCCTATTTCTTAGTATTAACTGGAGGAGTCTAAACATTACTTGGAATTTTTCTAATTTCTTATGTTTTATATGTAAAAAGAATATAGTGATAGTAAAGTTATAATGTAATAAAATTTTATTTATTCAGCATTTGAAAACATTTATATAAATAATTATAAATTGTTCTTTCAACAAAATCAAACTTTTTATTTATGATGATTCATATCAATTGAATGCAATGGAAGTACATCATACATATTATGGCTAAAACTCTTAAAGGCACAGATCCTAATTATTCAATCTTAGCAAAAGGATAAATTCATTTGATTATCTATTAACGTAAAAAATGGAACATGAATTACTAATCATCACTAGTTGAATTTATTGAATAATGTATCTTATTTTAATTGTAATTTTGGCAACTTTAATTGATTTTATTTATGATAATATATGCAAACATACATATGTGTATAAAAAAAAATCAAAAAAAAAATACAATAAAAAAATATGAATTTGCTAACAATATTTTAGTAGAAGTGAATATAATCAGTATAGTTGTTCAAATTTATAATTAAAATAAATAATCTACCTAATTTCTTACACTTATTTTTTTTTGATTTAGATCTAGTCTTTATACTAGATTTAACAACGCCTTCTTTCTTTTCACCATATATAAATTTCATTAATAAAATAAATAATTTGTAAAAACAAATTTCAAATTAAAATTAAAATTACATTACTGCTTTTGTTCAGCATTATTATTATTAATATTTTCTTCATCAACATCGTCATTAGCAGGATGTTTTCTGTTATTTGTAATCATGATTATAGCTATCTTTATTACCACCTATTGTGTAAATTTTTTACACTTATTTTTTTGATTTAGATCTAGTCTTTATACTAGATTTAACAACACCTTCTTTCTTTTTTTTTAAACTATTTACCATATATAAATTTTATTAATAAAATAAATAATTTGTAAAACAAATTTCAAAATTAAAAGTTAAAATTTTATTACTGTGTTTTGTTCAGCATTATTATATTAACATTTTCTTCATCAACACAACATCATCATTAGTGGGATGTTTTTGTTATTTGTAATCATGACAAGATTATATCTATCTTTATTGTGTAAAAAAATTAGTGATATATACAATAATTTTCAAACACAAATATTTATAATAATAAAAGAATAAATATTATTTTATTTTCTTACTGTTGATAATATGTAATTTCAGCATTATTTTTCATAGAATAGTAGAGAAAGTGGTATCTACACTCCCTAATGGATTACCTCTTATCATTTAAAAGTTCTCAAGCTCTTTTGATATCAAACTTGAATTATCAAGCAAATCAGAATGTAAAAAAATTAAAAAAGAAGCTAGAAATACACATTGTGAATTAGTTAGAATATATCAACAAATAATCTGGAAAATTGGAAATGCTGTTAATAAATCAATAATTTTATGTTTAACAATATTTATTATGTCCATAGAAAATTAATTGAAATTAATACTAACATCCACTTGCAAGCATTGTGGAAATTTGGATATATACTCAAAAGAATGGAGAATTAAAGTCTGGTGCCTTTATTTAATAATAATAAAAATAGTATTAGGAGCCTTTATTATTATAATATTAATATTGAATTACGTTATTATTGTTATTTATGATGATCGACATTATTTTTTTTGAGCCATTGTTTACTATTAAATATACCACGTGATTCCCTCTACCCTTAAGAGGAAAGTTGTAAAATAGTGTTTTTTTTGTATAATCATCATAAATTCTGTTTCTCTTAATTTTTGTTTGACTAACTGAATTTGTTATTTAAATCAACTTTATTCTAGAGGGGTATAACACAAAGCAAGTATCACACAAATGCTGAACCTCACCAGCAATCAACGCCCATATGGTGGCATCCAGCCTGGTCCGAGGAAAAGATAGGAAAAGTTTTGTCCAAAGCCTACCAACTTGTTCAATTGTTTCACCTGTGGGAGAAAATAAACAGTTATGAGGCGTGTGAAAGCACAACGCTTGCTTGTTGGTGATATGAAATTTTAATTAAATCTGACACCTGTGATCAACATCAAATTTATTATTCATGAATATTTGATGGATGGAGACATTCACATACAAGGAAATGATTAATAGTTATGTCATGTTTGTTTTATTAAAGACATATGATTAATTTACAAGCTTTTTCTCAATTATACACATTCTCGATAATAATTCTTATTATTTTCTATCGTTTTTTAGTTACATTTTAAAAATATTCCATTGGTGGTTAAAGTTATCTCCGAATCGATTGGGTCTTTTATGATCAGCAATAATAATCCCCTATTATCTGGGATAATTGATGTTATGAATTTACATCCTGATCTAATTGAATGACTACACATTTCAACTTATGGGATGAAGTAAATCAAGGTTTTGACATTATATCTCGCCAAACGATCTATTAGAATTTGTAAACTTATATTTAGAAAAAAAAGGACGTTATGGAAATCCCTATGAAATTCTTTGATAACAATAATTTATTTAACTTCCTTGAGGCGGCACAAAATTTATTATCTTGCTTTATGAACTTAAAAAAAAAAATTGTATAAAACTCATGAAAATATATTGGAAGCGACTTGGTCACATGATGGGGTTGCACCCATTAAAAATTTCGTATTTTTGGTTATCCTACCAATGGTGAGTTATTTTATAAATTATAATGATTTTAAAAAATTGCTATTTTTAAAAATTTTTTTTTATAGGGATTACAACATAAGTATGGCCACAAAGGAGCAAAGTGGATCTTTATCCGGTTAAGGATTTTTTAAACGGCTAACATCCTAATTTTCTAGGTAATGTAAAGTCAATGACTTTCCTGACTCCACAAAGGGTACATATACATGCGATTCTATAGCTTCTACAAGTTCATGATAGGAATGAAGTGTCTCAAATGGGACAATAAAATTTTCCATATAATTCGTTGGACCTTTAGTTTTCATAATTCTCCATTTGTTGACCGGAAAAAAAATACCAATGGTTCTCTTACATATATATAGGAAGTATAATATTATTTACTTCAACCATTTTTTAATTCTTAACCTTTTTAATATTAATTAATACTTTCCATTATATCGTGTTAGGAGATTAAAGTGTTTGGAGATCCCAATCGATGAAGACAGTGACAAATCGTTTCGTAAGAAAATGGTAATGTTAATAATTCATTTATACAACATAAATAAAATATTAAAAGAAACAAACGAAATGATTATACAAGTTGAAGAAAGCGAAATCCATTCACACAAAGTTTCTAAACATGGGGTTTCTAAACTTTTAATAATTCCAACTTACAATAGTGATTAAATTAAACAAAAAATCACGTAAATAATGTTTTAAATAAAATAATACTATAATATAAAATTTAAATAATTTTCCAATAATCACTTTTATTGCTCTTTCATTATCTTGTATTTTAATGATTTGATTCATCAAAAATTGAACATAAAAATAAATTCTAAGAATAAATGTTGCATAATTCATCTTGTAGTGTTTTAGATATTTTTTATTTGACCAAAAATTAGGTCATTTGTCAATCTTCTAGAGTTTGAGGTCATATTGGAGCTGACGATAAACACAAGGCGAAAAAAATCCCGATTTCATATT